GAGTGGCTGTGACCCTCTCCATGGGTGTCTTTCTATGGGGAGTACCAGTTCCTTTGCCTGCTCCTGCAACACTTTGCCCATGGCTGCAAAATCTGGGGTGAAATAGGGAGGTTTTGGGGTAGCGGCACTGCCATGAGGAGATGATGCCTGAGCATCTCGATTGCAGGGTGATGGGTGAGCATCGTATCGTGGTGATGCTTCATGTGCCCTGAGACCCCCCCAGGCATCATCCCCCAGCTCCTTTGGGGCTTACTGCTTTATTATGGTTTATTTTTAATGGGAAGATGTACTCGGGGCCAGCACAGGGGTGATGATGAGGAGCTGGAAGGGGGAAAAAGAGATCCCCCATTACAATGCCCACATGGTCCTGCTGAAGCTAGTGGAGCTGCCTTGAAAGTCCAGCTCACGGAGTTGCATGTGGGCTGATCCACACCCAGGCTGCCCCCAGCCTGCACGTGTTTTCAGCCCAGGACCTGCTTTCTGCCATGGGAACTCCTCTTCCTCCTCTTCCTTCATCTCCTCCTCCCTGCTCCAGAGCCGGTGGGAAAGTCTGGGGCTGTTGCTATTTTCTATCTGCTATCAAGGCCTCTTATCGCTTTGCTCTTGTCTGCGTGCCGGCGTTCGGAGCGTCCAGGGTCTCACTCTTGGCAGCGTGGAGGAGTCCCCCCTCCTTTTATATTTTCCATGTATTTTTCCCCTTGTGTTTACCAGCACAGCACAAGGAATCAACAACCTTCATTTGAGTGAAATGATCAGACAGTTCCCTGGGTAACGATGAGCTTTCCTACCACTGGGAATGCCGGCTTCGATGGCAGACCTGCATCCCCAGGCTGAGCACGGGTGACAAGAGTACATCACTGCGAGTTTTGGACAATCGTTGTAAATTTTTTTTTGTAAAGAAGAAGGAAAAAAAAAAGAAAGAAATCCTTCCTTGTTATCAAAAATAAAAAAAGAGGGAAAAGGAGGGAGGGAGAAGAGTTAATCGTCAAAGCGGAGTATCTTGGAAGGGAGCATTTTTTGGCTCTTCCCCTCTCTGTAAAGCCAGCCTCAGTAATTCAGTTTTAAAGCATGAAAAAAGGGAGTTGATGAAATTCCACTATCAGCACTGAACCAATATGCAAAATATCTCGCCGAAAATCAAATAGCTATTATGTTTTCATTTCCATTTCAGCGTATTTGCTTAATGAAGAATAGACAGATCAGGCAAGCCGAGGGAGGCTGTGTGCGGTGATAACTGTGCAGGGCTTCCAGCAATCCCGGAGAAGTGACGCTCCGCTCCCTGCTCCACGCTCCCTCTCCCTCCCTGCTTTTCCCTTTTTTTTTTTTTTTCCCTCTTTTTTTACCCTTTTTTATTTTTTCTAAGCTATCTAGTAGCTCATTTAACCCACGCAGCCGGCGGCACCAGCGGCAGAGCATCCCTTGGGAATAGGCGGCGTGTTGGGAGCGGGATGCTGCAGTAGGGCCAGCTGGGTGCTGGGATGCATCCAGGGACTGTGGTGACATGGTGCTGGGATGCTGCCGGCCACCCATCTTCCCTATAGGCGCTCGGTGATGTTGCAGCACCCAAACTCCTGGTTTTATATCATTGCATCTGTATGGGGCATCCCCATCTCCATCCTCGGTGTTTTAGGGCAGGATATGGGTGGTCTGGGCACCCTGGGTGGGTACCGCATCCTGGCTCCATCCATTCCTCCCCAGCCTCATCCCTCCCTCCCTGGGTCTGTCCATCCCTTCCTGGCCAGGCTGGGAGTGCCAAGCTATGGAGCAGGCGAGAGTCGGGTTAACTTTATCAGAAGCCCAAGAGCCGTGAAGGCGTGAAAGAAGAAATTAGCCTAACAATGTTTCATTTGCAGCGAGAGAAACGATTTGTTAGCTGGCGATTGTTTCTGAATATTATCAGAGCCTTTTTAATTGTGCTGGAACTGAAATTAGCAGAATTAGAATAAATTGCCTTCCCTTCTCCGGCAGCCTCTTTATTCACGCTCATTGTTGTCTGCTTTGTATAGATTATGGGCTCTTTGTTCTCCTGCTGTAAATATACATGCCTGGAGTCACAGAGAGCAGCTGAGGTCTGCAGTGGGTTTGTCACCGCGCCATTCCCCCCCACTTGCCTGCACCGGGGTGGTGCCGGACGGGCACCGGGCAGCCCCCGGCACGAGCCACGCACGCCGCTCACTCTTCCTCCCTTTCTTTATTGATACCAGCACGGACGGGGATGCTGCGTTACTGTGGAAACGGTAGCATGGGCTGCCAGGGCTGTTTGGGGGGAGCTGAAGGGGTGTCCCCCATCGTGTACCCCATTTGCACCCTCAATGTGCCCTGTGTCCCCATTGCAGCATCCCCCTGTGTGCAGGGCTGTGGGCATAGCAGGGGGATGTGTTGTAGGACCCCTGTGAGATGAGGGGTGCTTGGGGACCAAGGAGATGGTCTCTGGGGTCCCTCACCCTGTTTAGATGCTGGGGGTTCAGATGGGAAGCACAGGTGAGCAGTGCAGCAGGCCGGGTACCTCACTATGCCATACCCATGTACCCATGGTACCTGGGGACCCTGCTCACTTCCCAGGCATGTGTAGAGCTCATTCTGCACAGTGTGGGAATTGCTGTTCCTGGAAGTGTTCAAGAACATATGGGTAAGGCCTCAGTGACATGGTTTAGTGCTGTGGAACAGTCTGACTTGATCATCTTGAAGGTCTTTTCCCACCCTGTTGATTCTATGTGTGAGGGGCACCAGGCATCCCTTGGGGTACACCCCCAGCAAGCCACTGGTTCTATAAACCTCCCTCTGCAAAGGGACACAGACCTGTGGGAGAAACCGGACCACAGGGCTGGCTGGGGATGGGGGTTCCCTTCCCTTCCCATGGCATTCAAGGCATCTCCTCTGAGCCCCGTGTCAGGTCAGGAAAGGGCCCTTTGCCATCATCCTACATTTCCCAACTGGGATAACCCACTGCTGAGGTTTTTCCCATCCAGTCCTCCCACTAACCACCCCTCTGTGTTTCCCAGGTTCCTTGGCAGTGATGGAGGAAGGTGAGGACGGCCCAGCGGCAGAGAAGAGCCCCTTGGAGAGGGATGCAGCCACCTTGGACCTCGAGGGTTCTGTTGAGCATGATGCCTCCAGCCCCCCCGGCAGTGAACGTGAGTCTCACCACGGTGGCAGGGGGCTACCCATGGTGTCCCCATGCCGTGGATGGGCTCTGCCACCGGAGCACATCGGCATTGTCTCTGCAGGGTGTGAGTTATCAATCAGAGCATCCCGCACACCCATTGAGGATGCTGGTTAAGCAAGACCCCCATCTCCCTGGCATACTCCATCCCTCGCCATCAGCAGCACGCTGGAGTGGGGCACAGGCAAGGATGCTTGCAATCAGAGGCAGTTTGCTCACCATGATGACTGCTGATGAGCAGCATAACCCTGTATCTGTATCAGCACCTTTTACCCACCATGGTGCTGAGCCACCAGTCATAGCGAAGAGATGGGGGTATGCAAAGTTCTGGGTGACCTGATCTAGTTAAATACGTCCATGCTGGTTGCAGGGGATTGGATTAGATAATCTTTGGAGGCCCCTTCCAGCACAAACTATGATATGATTCTGATTCTGTGATTCTATAAACTGACATTCTTCTACCCAAGATGAGCTCTGAAGGCCCCCTCCGATGCAAACTATGATATGATTCTATTGTTCTGTAGTTGTATAAAGCGATCTCCTTCCCCCAGGAATGCAAAGTGACCTCGTGATGTTCAGAACAACGTCTCCTGGGGTGCAGACTGCCTCCCCAGATGACAAAGCAGTCCCTGAGGTCATCAGAATAGTCTGGGTTAGAAGGGACCTTCAAAGCTCATCTTGGGGAGAAGGAGGTCACTTTATAGAACAACAGAATCAGAATCATATCATAGTTTAGATTGGAAGGGACCTTCAAAGCTCATCCAGTCAAACCCCTTGCAATGAGCAGGGACATCTTCAGTTATATCAAGACACCCAGAACTTTGAGGCCCTGATTCTATGATTCTGTGGTTCCATGAAGTGACCTCTTTCCCCCCAAGATAAGCTCTGAGGGCCACTTCCAACCCAAACTCAGATACGATTCTACCATTCTGTGACTCTATAAAGTGATCTCCTTTACCCAGGGGTTCAAAGTGACCTCTTGGTGTCCAAAGCCACATCTCTCAGGGCGCAAACTGCCTCAGAGCATCCCCTGAACCTGCAGGTGCTGGCACGGATGGGGATGGGGGCACGGGGCCGTTGCTGCCTGCTTCCTGCCCTTGCCGCCTGCCTGCCGCCGCGCTGTGCCATGCCCCACCCCAGAGGTGGCTGCGTTACAGGGCCGGGCTGAAACAGTCCCCAGATATCCTTTAAGTTCCTTCCTGTGGAGGTGGGGGCAAATCCTAATCAGTTCATGTTTGCAGTGCCCTTCGAGATAACCGCGGCGGGGCAAGGCTGCACCGGCTAAAGCAGCCGGACGGCTCCGCAGCAGGCAACAGTGGCTCCCGGGTAGCACCGGAGCAAAGCAAAGCGCGTGTCCCCCTTCCAAACTATTGGAGTGATGCCATGGGGATCCGCACTAAACAACGGTGGCTGTTGGGAAGCACCAGAGCAAATCAAAGCACGTGTCCCCCTTCCAAACCCATTGGAGCGATGCCATGGGGATCCACACTAAACAACGGTGGCTCTCGGGAAGCACCGGAGCAAAGCAAAGCGTGTGTCCCCCTTCCAAACCCATTGGAGCGATGCCATGGGGATCCACACTAAACAACGGTGGCTGTTGGGAAGCACCAGAGCAAAGCAAAGCACGTGTCCCCTTCCAAACCCATTGGAGTGATGCCATGGGGATCCACACCAGGCAACGGTGGCTCTTGGGAAGCACCGGAGCAAAGCAAAGTGCGTGTCCCCCTTCCAAACCCATTGGAGCAATGCCATGGGGATCCACACCAGGCAGCGGTGGCTCCGGGTAGCACCGGAGCAAAGCAAAGCACGTGTCCCCCTTCCAAACCCATTGGAACGGTGCCATGGGGATCCACACTAAACAACGGTGGCTCTCGGGAAGCACCAGAGCAAAGGGTCCCCCTTAAAACCAATGGAGCAATGCTGTGGGGATCCCAATAGCATGGGCAGGGAGGGCTCGCAGGCAAACTTTGCTCTGCAGCAGGGAGAAGCGAGTGGCTCTTATCTGATGGGGGAGCTGGGCTGGGGGCGAGGGAGCCGGGAGCCTGGGCGCGTTGCTGCACCTGGCACTGGGCTGCCTCGATAAAGAGGTGATAGCAGAGATAACGTGGAGCAGCAATAACGGCCACTAAAGCTTTCAGCGCGATGGATAAAAATCGATATGCCAGGCACTTTGATTTATAGCCAAAAATAATAGGACTTTTATACCCGGTGATTGATTTATTTGATGTTAATCATTCCGCTTATCACCTGTATTAATAATCTCCAATGCTGGTGACGTCACCCCTGGGTGTTCGCTCTGGCGCCGATCGATTGGGCTCCGTGCTGGTTATCCGCCCGGGACGCCAAGGCAAACATGTACTTTGGGCGCTAATCTTCCACACTGTCATATGCAGATAGGCTCTATCAGCTGCATCTCCAGCAGCAGTTAATGGAGAAAATAATTGTTATCAAGTTGCTATGAATACGCCACAAATAGAGCTGTGATGGGAGCGGGGCTGAATCCGGTGACATGGGGCCCAAAGTGGGATGGGAAGGATGGATGTGGGAGGGGTTTAGGGGTGAGAGGCGGGTGCCTACCCGTTGAGGATGTGTGGTGGGCTTGGCTGTCATGATGGGACATCCCGTGTGGGTCAGAGGACCCTACAGGTGGGCAGTGGGGCGTTTGGACATGGGGATTGAACATCCCTGTGCACATCCCTGAGAGCATCCTGACCCTGAGGTGTCACCGGTCCAGTGGTCCTGGTCCCCATGGGATGCTCCCTCTGAAGTTCCCCACATTTGACCTGCTGCCTTCCCTCTCCTGCTGCAGATTCCAGAGACACCCCAGAGAGTTCAAAGGAGCTGGAGAAGTCAGATCCTGGAGAAAAACTGCAGGAAATGGATGTCTGGAATGGGCCAGGTATGTCCCCAGTGTGCGGCCGGTCATCCTGCTCCTTCGCAGCTTCCCAGCTGGGACACAGGCTGGAATAGCTGGAGCAATCTCCATGCATTCATCCCTTGCAAACCAGTATGAGGACTGGGAGCTGGGCAGGCTGCAAATACAGCACTTCTGCAGAGAGGGGAGGTATGAGATGGTGGTTGTGGTCCCCAGATCCTGAGGGCACTTGTTTGGGACAGTAAAACCCAAGCTGGGAGCTGTGGGGATGCCATCACTGTGGCTGGCATCGTGCTTCCCAGCACAGGGAGGGTTTGGACCCCATCCTGCATCGCTCCACGCTTGCGAGGGCACTTCACAAACATCCTGGCAACCACAAGAGCGACGCTCGAGTGGTTTGGTGATGGTTATCAAAACCCCAAGGAGTGAATAAACGCGTCTATCTCCCTCTCGGCATCTCTGCTGGCACCCTGGCAGCCCAGTGAGGCTGCGTGTGCCATGTGGGTACCCTGCGCCCTATCGCCCTGCTATCTCCAAACCACCCCAAGATGGGGTTACACTTGAGGCTCCATTGTGCAGATTGGGTTTGTGGGTGCCCGTCCGCTGCGGATGGACAGGGATGGGGCAAGAGGGAGCTGAGCCCCACCGGGGGTTGATGTGCCGCATTTTGGGCCCCATTGGTGCTGCTCCTCCCAGGGGGAATGCTGATGGACCTGGTCTTGGAGCATCCCCCCTGGAAGCAGCAACGCATGGTGGGACGGGGTGACCCTGATGCAGGGCAGTGACCAGTGATGGATGCAGCAGGGCAGGGGTGGTCCCAGCGTGTCCCCAAGGCCACCAGCGTCCCGCATGGGTGATGGATAGGCACTGGGAACTGCCGGCTGCAGCACACGTGCTCCTGCAGCTGCCCAAATCCCCACGGCTCGGCGGGGAACTATGGCCCCGCTCCCCCTTCCTGCCCCATCCGAGGGGAAGCTCTCGCCGGCCCCGCTGATATCCCGGCCCTTCCTGCGTGCCGGGCAGGAAGGAGCTGCGAGGCCTCCCCAGCTCCTTCTTATCTGCTGCCTGGCCCTTTGGCCCCTGCACTGCCGGGCCCCTTGCTCCACCGCATCCCAATAGGGATGGGGCTTCCATGGGTGCCCCCATACTGAGAGGTGACAGCACTGCACAGCCCCTTATCCCAACAGCTCCATCAACCACAGGGTCCCCAAAAGGGACCACGAAGCCTTGGCTGTGACCGTGCTTCCCCCTTCCCCCTCTTCCCTCTCCAGAGCGGGTTATTTGCATTCTTTATGTAAAAGAGATTTTATTATCGCCTTCTCCCAGCCCATCTCTATTCTGGTAATTGGAGTGGTATTAATTTCTGTGTGGCTGGGAGTTGATGGCGGTCCGGCGATGCTGCAGCGATAGGGTGTTCCTTTCGCACCAACCGCCGCGATAGCCCGTCTATCAGGCGCTCTGCAGGCTCTGCACTTATCAGGGATGGAGCTGGCAAAAAGGGAAACTCTGAGCAGCCTGAATTTTCTTTTTTATCTGGCAGGATCCGCCGTATGTCAGCAGTGGCAGCTGTGAAGATGCAGCACATCGGGGTGGGGGGGGGGAACAAGCAGGCTGCTCCAGGCGCCTTTGTTCGCACCCTGAGGGGTCTCCCCTTCCTCTGGCTCTTTTTGGGGGGCTACAGGGTCACTCCCCACTATGGCTTTGCTCTCTGGGTCTCCAAAACTGGGTGCGCTGCTGCGCCAGAGGCTGGGCAGTGTCGGGATGCGGCATTCCAAGACCTCGCCGTGGGGCTCCTTGGTGCCGCGGGTCAGTGAGGGATAGGGAGTGTTGTTGTATTATCTTTGCAATGACCTTGTTCACTGGAGGGAGCTGCTGCTCACCCGCCTGATATGCAAATCCCCAGGGGTTGTGGGCTGTGATCCTCAGCTTGGGAGCCTTCAGCTGGGGTGCTCGGTTCTGCTTTCTGACACGGTCCCGGGATGGACCATGGCCATGCTTCATGCTCATCCTCTGATGGGCTGGAGAGGAGATGTTCATCCTCCCCAGATCCCCTTCTTCCCTTTGCCACAGCCCCACCAGTGGCTCTCATCCATGCCCATCTTTCCCACTCCTTTTTGTTTGCCCTGGAGCAGGGCCGGTAGCAGAGACCTTTGGGAGCACCCGCAGCCCCTGGCTCCCAGCCCAGGCCTGTCCCATCCCACCCCATCCCTGCCTGGCCAACCTCACCAAGTCCAGCCAATTTTCCTGGAGAACTAAGGTGAAAAGTTCCAACAGATTCCATGAATGTGGTGTTAGGACAAGGGGGGCGGAGAAGAGCAGAGTCCTGCTGAGGGACACGCTGCTCAACCGCTTTACGAGACACTGGAGAATCCCCACCAGGCACTGCAGCCCCAGGGAAGCCCAGATGACACTTGCCTTTCTGCAAGGTGGGATAAAGCTTTTTGCTGTTGTCCCTGTGGGGACACCGACAGGGCCAAGAGAGGGAAGGGATGGAGTAGAAAGGGCCAAACCCAGGGTTGTTCTTTGCCTTGTCCCCCCAACGGCAATGTCCCACCACCCTCCCTGAAACAGCAGCAGTTGCTCCCAGGGGGTCCCTCACTCCTTTTCCTACATCAGCGTCACCATTTGGGTCTCCACAAAGATTCCCCCTTTCTTGAGCCCCATCAGAACAGAAACTCATCCCTGGCAGTGTTCGAGGCCAGGTTGGATGGAGCCTTGGGTGACATGGTTTAGTGTGAGGTGTCCCTGCCCATGCCAGGGGGTTGGAACCGGATGATCTTAAGGTCGTTTCCAACTCAAACCATTCTGTGATTCTCATCTGTTCATGGCTTTATTTAATAGCTCCCAGGCAGTAACGATGCCTCTGAGTTGATTACAGAGCGTGGCACAGGTCCACCTCTCAGGACTGACCACGAACCCCAAACCCACCCTCGCCACCAGCCCCGTGTGTGGGTATCGGGATGGCACAGCCCAATCCCCTATGGCTTTTTGGGTGCATCTAATTAAAACCACGAACTTTGTCAACTCTCCCCCCCCCCCCGCCTCCCCCTTTGCCTTCGGTTGTGTTTATCTGCGCCGCGACTCCTACCCGAATAATCTCCGTCTGCCCGGAGCGTGTCTGCAAACCTCAAGGTTTATTATCGGGGCGAGCAGGGCACGAGGAGGACGGCTCATCCGGATGGCCGTCCCTGCGCCGCGTCTCCCCCTTTCCCCTCTGTTTTGAGTGGGTGGCAAAAGTTATTCCAGCTATTCCTTTTTATCGCCGGGAGCCGGGCTGAGAGGGGATCGCTGTGTTTGGGTTAGATTGCTGTGGGATGGGGGGAAGATTGGGTTCGGGGGGTCTCCTGCTTGCCTGGAAACTACTCCCTGTGAGGCTTGTGTCGGCAAAGCCAGACAATGAAGGCAGAAGGATGGAGGGTGTCCCAGTAGTGACACCTGTCCTGGGTTGGGGATATGGAAGGGGACACTGTCCCTGCTGGGGTTTGTGTCCCTGACATCAGTTCAGCCTCTGTGTGGGGACACTGGAAGGTGGAGGGATAGCCAGGATGGCGTGGGGATGTTGCTGAGTGGAAGGATGCTCAGACCAGTCTGTAATAACTGCTGGGGTGCAAGGATGCTCAGGCTTGTTTAGGACACTGGTGTGGTGCAGGGATGCTCAGACCCATTTGTGGACATTGCTGGGATGCAGGGATGCTCAGGCTGCTTTGATGACATTGCTGAGTAGAAGGATGCTCAGATCTGTTTGGGAATACTGCTGGGATGCAGGGATGCATTGAGGACACTGCCAGTGTGGGGGGACACCCAGACACAGCACGGCAGGGAAATCCCTGCATCGAGCAGCACCTGGATGATGTTGAGAGGCGCAGGCAGTGTCCCCCCAACTCTGTCCCAATCCTTTCCCTTGGGAAGGAGAAAAACATCTCATGTATTTGTGGAGAGAGCCCTGGGGGCGATGCTGCCAGGCTCACTGTGACTGACAGCCATCAATCACTGCTGCCTTGCCGCTGTGCACTGGGCTGGAGCTGAGGACCAGTGGGGTTTATGTGCAAAGCCAAGCTCGCACCCTGCTCCTGCCCAATGCTGAGGAGTGACCCCCCCTTGTGGTCCCCTCCTCCTTTCCGGAGGGGATATCTACCCTCTGCATCAGCTCCAGGGGCCCCTTCACTCCCCTTCCTCCCCCTTCCCAGCTTCCTGTCCCCCCCCAGCACATCCCTACCCGCTGCTTGGTACCAGCCAGGGCAGAGTCAGGGGGTCCCAGCAGCCCTGTGACTTGGGGGACAGCAGGGACAGGGTGTCCCTGGCACAGGGGTCCAGCCAGCCTGGGAGAGCTGGGAGTTATTCCTCCTTCCATCTTCCCTGAGTGCTTTCTGATGCTGTTCCCAATGTTAATTCCTGTACCCATACCTATGGGTATGGCTCACTTTTATTACCCAGTATAGGGACCCTCTTGAGACAGGGACCCCTGGGGATGGGGACCCCCTCAACGCCACATCCCTGCAGGGCTCAGCAACACTCCAAACTCAAACGTCCTGAGGACGTTATCAGGGCGCATCCTGCTGGGGCAGGGCACCCTGGCTTACATGGGGCATAAGGGAAGGGCGATCCCGGGGTGACACATGGCAAAGCTGGTGCCAGCACCTGCCAGCTGTGCAGAACAGCTGGCGAGCGGGTGCCTGGCCCTCTTTGGGGTGCAGCACCTCCTGGGTGCCATGGTCCCCCCCTTTTCCCTGAGCGCTGGGAGGTGCAGCTCTGCTCTCCGGGGTAGGTCACAGCTCCTCCATTAACCAGGGGCAGGGTTCAGCCTGATAAAGATTTGCTTTTGTACTCTGTCAAAAAGGAAATCAATAAATGGCAAGCGATGGGCAGGACTGATAAAGGCAGAAATCTCCCCTCAGCTCCTGCCATGCCAGGGCACTGGGGTGTCCCCTCTGCACCCAAAAGCTGGGGGGGGGGGGGGGGGTGTCAGAGCCCAGCTCTCCCATAACCATCCCCTCCCAGGCCATGGCAGCTCAGCCACAGCAACCCCAGGCTGAGCCTAAGCAGGCGCAGCCCAGCAAGGCTCGAATTGAAACCCTCCTCACTCCTTTGTCGTCCCCAAGGCTGCCCTGATTACTCGAGCACCCGGGATGGCAAAGCCAGGATAATCTCCTTAGCCCCTTTGGAGAGATTTCCCTTTGTGAGCGGAGGTGAAGAGTGGAGATGCTGCGTGTTCGCAGCTTAAGACTCTTCCCAATCGGCTCCCTCCATCTTATCGGAGCGGTGCCATCACATCATTTCACTAGTTGAGTTGTCAGGATTTATTCCTTCCGCCGCGCACTCGCTGCTTCTAAAAACAGCAGCTGGGGCATGCAGCAGGGCCAGGGCTGCTGTGGGAGACGGGGATGCTCCAGGTCCACTTTCCCCTTGGGATGTTGGGTACCAATGGATGGATGGATGGATCCATCCTCCCTCCCCTTTAGGAGTTCCCATGCCATAGGGACATCCCAGACATGCTGGGATGGGAGCAGAGATCCCCCGTTCATCCCTGTTCCCCTTGGGTTCATGTGGGGGCTATACCTGGTGTTGTGGTCCCCCCAGCCAGGGCTGGCAGCTCCCAGGGCCAGGCACAAAGCGCTGTATTAATAGGAGCAGCGCGCAGTGCGGCTGATGCTGGGATGTGGTCCCGTGACATCCCGATAGCAGTATTTATCCAGATAGTATCCAGGCAGCTGCAAACACTGTGGGGACCTCCAAGCCTGGATCCCTGCCGAGGGGCAGAGCCCATCATTCGGATTGGATTAAAGTCACACTGGTGCAGTTGGGGCAGAGGGGGTGCAGGAGTTGGTTGGGATGGGATGTGCAGGTTTGCCCAGGGCTGGGTGGGCCCTCTCTTCTGTTCCCTATTGTTGCTCCCACAAGGAAAGCAAATGTGGGTGCATGGATGCAGCTGCGCCTCTGGAGCATCAGGAGCAAAGGCAGGTGGCTACAGGAGCTGACCCACTCCCAGTAGTGCATCCTTGCCCCAGCCAAAAGGATGCTGTGGGTTGCCTTGCGGATGGGCTCTTATAGACGTTCCTCACACCCTTGTCCTGTGTTCACCCTGTCTTACATGGCAATGCCTCACATGCAGGCCTGCAGAATTCCCCCCTTCCTGGACCCCACGGGTCCAGGGGGGCTCTGATGCCAGCCCTGCCTCCCCAGCCATTGATCGCCCCATGCTTGGCCATGGTGTGATGACAGGATTAATCTTTGCTCTCCAGCACAGCTCTGCCTGTTTCTCTGAAATCTCTCGATGGGGAGATAAGCCGAGGTGCAGTGTGGGGCGAGCAGGCGCTCTCAGTCCCTGGGGGCAAGGAGCAGCCCCAGCGCCCCGTGTTTCAGCAGTGGGGCAGAGCACTGGGGTCCATGCCGTGCACCTGGCTCACCGGGGGCTTTTCCCCTCCCTCCTTCCTTCCTTCCTGCTGCTTTTCTTCACGACACAAAGCAAACAGCCGCGTCCCTGCCCAATTTGGTTAATGATCATGGAGATAAACGTGCCGCGATAACCGGGGCACTGCCTGGCTGGGACTGATGGCCAGAGGAGATACCCGGGGCGGTGTTCACCTGCCGGGGGGATCCCGCAGGGAGGCAGCACCGGAGCCCGGCCTGCGCCTGTGGACTTTGCTCCTTGCCGGGCACCCCATGGGCTGGCACCAGCAATTCCCAACTCTCCAGGCTGCAGGCAGAGGGATGCAGCTGAACCCGGTGCTGTTGGAACGTGGGGATGTGGATCGCTTGCTTTGGGCTTTGTTACCAAGTGTGGACAATGTGCTGTGCTGCGCCATCCGGGCTTGGCGTCGTTTCCCCTTTCCAATGGAGAACTACAGCAATACCACGTGCTTACTTTGGAAAATCCCCTTTTTCCTCTTCTTTTTCCTTGCTGTATCAATGTGGGTGCAGCCGGTGCTTCAGGGGCTGTGGCAGCATCCCTGTCTGGGCACAGGGACACCCATCCAAATGGAGAACTGCTCAGCTCTTCTGGATGGGGTTCCCCACATCACGTTTTCGGGGTGACAGTGCTGCATTGGGCCAGTGGCCAGTGCCATGGCCACCGGGCGCTGGTGGGGAGCGGGCCAGCTCCGGCGGCACTATTTTTGTCCCCCTGTCTGGAACGGTTTTGTCTTTATCAGCGCCTGCGTGTTTTCTCTGCTGGGGATTGATACACAGAAGATGAAGTGCTCTGACATGGGAAGTGTCAGGCGAACGCTCTTATCTTGGAGACATGGTCTCCTGACCCAAACGCTGCTGATTACCAGTGAGACAGGGGGGAAGGAGGGGCAAAAGGGGGGGCACGGAGGGGGGGAAAGTGGCGGTTGGGCTCTGTTCCCCAAAAGCAGCCAGGCTGTGCAGAGGGGGAGACATCACCATTAGGAATGTGGGGCTTTGCTTCCCACCTCCAGTGATGGGGGATGCTGGGAATGCGATGGAAGGGCTAAAGGGAGCCTGGCAGCCCAGTGGCACATCGGGAATCAGACAGGAGTAAGGTGTTGGAATCATGGAGCAATGAGCACTGAGCAAGGGTCTGACTGCCCTGCTCAGCCCTGAAGCCGCGGTGATGGCCACATCCTGCTCGGTGGCTCTGCTTCCTGCCTCCCCTTCCCCCCCCCCCGCAGCCCGGGTCCTTCACAGGAGGGGCTGCTGCTGCCTCTTGGCATTGGTTTGTGCCAGGGAATAAATCCCTTTGGCTCCTTGAAGGCCTCAGCCCTCCTCCTTGTGTTATCCTGTGATGGAGTCAGGGGGTGCTGAGCAGGGGGATGCCAGGAAAATGGGGCAGGGGGATGGCAGGGATGCAGGATGGGCAGAGCCAGCACCGTGCTTGCTCCCAAACCGCTTTGATGGGGATGAAATCCTGGCTGAACAGAGCAGGGATCCCCATGGCCAGGGCACTTTTCTTAGCATCCAGCTCCAAACCAGCACCAAGGGCTTCCGAGCTGAAGGCACTGAGGGCAGGAGGTGCTGTGGGAAGGGGAGGCAGGAGCCCTGCCTGTACCCCAGGAGGGCAGAGCTGCTGCAGGCAGAGCACATCTCATTCACCAGCATGTGTCGGAGGCTGTGGCATGGGGATGGAGGGAGGGTGGCTCAGGGGTGATCCTTGGGGATCTCTAACACCTTTGCAGCCTTTCCTCCATCCCACCCCCAGCAGGGAGCAGGTTTTGCCAAGGGGCACCAGTTGATCCCCTGGGACACAACTGGAGACACATCCCTGGTGGCACAGGGCATCCTTGGTGAACAGAGCTAACCTACGGGTGACGCTGGGACGCAGGTGATCTCAGGTACCGCCAACCCGTGCTCACCACCCGGACACTCACCTTAACTCACCCTATTGCTGACAGGATCCAGATGTCAGCTGGGCTAATAAACACATCAGATTTCAATCTCCGCAGCCATGGGATCGCTTTATCCTCCCCGTGCTCCCAGCTCTGAAAGCAATTTTGCCTTCAGACCAGCGCACAGGACCTGAGCCCTGGCTGCATCTACTTCAGTGCCCGCAGAGATGGGGCATGGGGCTTTAGGGGGCTCTTCTCCCTGCTATGGTGATGGGGGGAGCCCCACTTCTGCCCCAGAGCACCCTGGGGTGCTAGGAGCATGCCTGGCTCCAGATGGGTGTCCAGGGCCTCACTGGTGGCCTGGTGTTCAGCTCACTGTCCTTAGGGAGCATCATGGGTTTTGGGGTGCAGCATCCGGCTCCTTCTGCTGTACAGCGAGGGGCAGCCAGCACACATCCATCTGCGTATTGGTTACCTGCCATCTTATCTGCGCTCCAAAAGACAAAGGCACAGTTAAAACATTTTAGAGCAGCCTTCATAGCGTATTAACATGTTATCTAACCCATTAAACCAGAGGCTTATCAGATAATCAAAGCCATTAAGCCCTGAAGCTGCTTCAACTTTGGGTGCTGGGATGGGAAATACTCCTTCCGCTCCACCGCTGTGCTGTGCCTGGACCCCCCGGTGAGCAGTTGGATGCCTTCCATCCATTAGGGATACCAGCGCACCCACCAGCAGCTCCAGGCTCCAGATGGGTGCCCACATCCCTATGGAGCTGCCATGGGCCGGGGGTCTGGCTGGGGGAGGCATCACGGTGATGCTGTGCCTGTCTCCCCACAGATGAGCTGGACCAGGTTGTGCAGGATGGGGAGAGGCAGGTGCGAACCCGCAGGAGCCTCCCCGAGGGCTTCTCCTGGGGACCCTTCCAGGGCAGCATCCACAGCGAGCTGTCATCACCCGGGCACAGTGACACGGTAAGGAGCACGGCTGTGGAACGGTGGTGAGGAAAGGCCTGAGGAAACAAGGGGTTTAGAGAGAGGGGTTGGTTTAAAAGGGATCAAGCTCCTGTGGATCTCCAGGTTTGGATGTCCGGAAGGTTTCCATGCCCATCGCCCCGAGATCAGAGCATCACCGCAGGCAGGAGGATGGGATGCTGGCCGTCCCCTCCGGTCCCCTCCTGCACAAGCAGGCTGTGTGGTGGTACCTGTATCCTTGCAGAAGAGATGGCGTTGGAGTTTCCCACCTGAAATGTACTCCTAAGGGACTCTGGTTGTGCCAGGGAAGCACCAGGGCTCTGCAGCACAGGATAGGAGGCAGCGCAGGACACAGGTGGCTGTTGATGGCAGGAGCATGACAGGGACTTGGGTCTGCACATGGGTGTGTTGGAAGCACTGGGTCCTCACATCCCAGCCACATCCTTGCCCGTGTATCCCCCCGTGCCTCACGCAGACAGCTCCATCCCAGGATCTTCAAGGCTGGAGAATCCCTCCCAGTCTCCATCCCCACCTCCTCCTTTCTTCCTCTTTTTTTTTTTTTCTTCCCTTTTTTTTTTTTTAGCCCAGGCCCGTTTATCTTTGCTGAATTAAATCCTTGATTAACCCTTATCTGCCCAGTTTGGCTCCCTATCTCCCGGTTGGCGCCGTGTGTCCAGACACCCGGTACAGGATGATTGATTTCTTAAAGATATGCGCAGCTTTTTTCTGATACTTCATTTATTGTCTAAATATTTTTGCTCCCATTTCAGCAGCTCCCTTATCGAGCCCGGCTGATGATTCCCAGCCCTGCTCTCCTCCGCCACTCGCCTCCCTCCCTATCTCTGCTCGGGAAAGCGAGGAAGGAATCGCAGCCGCATCCCTGATACAGGCTGTCGCCCCCAGGTTCCTTCGTCTTTGTTGCTGGCGGCAGGAGAGGGCATGCAAGGGGGTCTCCCCCAGTTCCTGCCCAAGCTCTGCTCTTTGTCCCCATGTGGGAAATTAGCTCATCCCAGTGGGAACTGGGAACACTGGGTGGCTTTAATGTCTCTGTGGCATGAAGCATCATGGGTGCCCATTGGTTCACTGATGGAGGAGGAGGAGGAAGAAGGCTTCCTGCTTCCCTAGCCGGTCCCATGAGGCTCCCCCGACACATCCTTGCTCCATCAGGTGTACCTGGGAATGCCAAGGGACCCCGGAGCTCCCTGTGCTGGCTGTCCCCCCACTCCATCCCTGCTCTGCTGACCCCCGCGCCGGGGCACCCAGCCCTAGGGTGATGCCCACAGAGGGGGACAGTGAGGGCACGGGTCTGTTCCGATAACGCCATCCCAGCGGATGCGGAGCAGATAGGGTTTCCGATGGTTATCGTGCTGGTGCAGAGCGGAGACACTGACCTCTTTGTTCCAGAGAGAACAAGGAAGGGCTTGACGCAGGGGCTGGGGCTGCCAAAGGGAGCTGGGGCAGGCACCCTGGGGTGCTGGGAGCGCCTTTGGGGTGCTGGGAGCACCCTGGGGTGCTGCAGGTGCCTCCCTCCATTGGGGGTACCCATAATTCCCACCATTGTAGAGCAAGAGCCCCACCACCAGCACCCATCCCCGTGCCCCACGCAGGGAGGTCCCTAAGCCCCCAGCCCCATTTCCCACCCACTTCCCACACAGCAGTCGGGTTGCTGCAGTTCACACGCGTGTGTGAGCGCCTTGCACACACGTGTGCACAGGGGTTATCACGCTCCCAGCACCGCGCTCCTGCCGGCGATAAGGCCACAACCGGCTGCCACCGTCAGGCTGAGTCGGAGGGCTTAGAAATATTGGGATGAATAATTAGATTTCATATCGTTATGGCAGCAGCCATCAGAGGATCAGGCAGATTAATTCTAACCCCCCTTCTTTCTGGTCATTAATATTCATTAGAGATGCAGGAGGCAGAGCAGGGTGCAGGATGCAGGAGAGCATCATGACCCCCCCCCAACCCAACTCAGTCTCAGCCTGTTTTGGGGGGCGATGCTCACCCCGCTCTCTCTGCTCTCAACAGAGCCCGCCTGTGACGCTGGTGCTGGGGGATGAGAGCTGCTGGCTGTCCCGCCTGCCCCTCGTGCCCGGAGAGACCGATGCCAATGCCGTCATCTACAGGAAGGGTTGGTACCAGTGCTATGTGTCCCTGCACCCAGGGAGGGTTAATGGGGGGGGACGTGCATGGCCACCTCGGTGCTTGGGTGATGGAAGGGGTCCTTGACCCCCTCCATCTGCTCCTCCACCTCCTCCGTGACCCCTCACTGACCATCACTGGGGCTTGCTCCCTATCCCAGCCCTTCCTGGTTAGGATATGAGGTGGGTCCCAGTGGCTTGTGCAAGCACTAGTGCATTACTGCATGCCACTGGGGCAGGACCCTTTGGAGAGGGTCAAGGGAAGGGCACAAAAGTGATCCAAGGGATGGAGCACCTCTCCCACAAGGAAAGGCTGAGACAGCTGGGGTTGTTCAGCCTGGAGAAGACTTCAGGGAGGTTTTATTGTGGTCTTTCAGTTCTTAAAAGAGGCTTATCTCATACGAAAGATGGGATGAGACCTTATAGCGGGGCCTGTTGTGACAGGATGAGGGGTGATGGTCTTAAACTAAGAGAGATTCAGACTGGATATAAGGAAGAAATTATTACAATGAAGGTGGTAAAACACTGCCACAGCTTGTCCAGAGAGGTCGTGGGTGCTCCATCCCTGCTAACAGTCAAGGCTGATGTGTTCTTGGGCAACCTGGTCTAGATGAAGATGTCCCTGCTCATTGTAGGGGGTTAGAACTACAGAAGCTTTGAAGGTCCCTTCTAACCCAAATTGTGATATGGTTCTATGACTCAGTGCATGCATCATATAGTTGAAAGACTCAGTGTAAGCACTACTGCATGCAGTGGTGTAAGACTCAGTTTGGGCATTACTGCATGTACGGGTGCATGTATGGATGCATGTACAGGTGCGTGTATATGCACATGTACAGGTGCATGTATAGGTGTATGTATAGGCACATGTATAGGTGCATGTATGGGTGCATGCACGGGTGTATGTATAGGTGCATGTACGGGTGTATGCATAGGTGCATGTATGGGTGTATGTATAGGCACATATGTAGGTGCATGGGTGCAAGCACCAGCGGGAGCAGCGCTCGGGCACGGGCAGACACCGCCATCTCCAGGCAGACCTGGAGGAAGCACCAGGGACAGAGGGGACAGGGGAGCCCAGGTCCATGCAGACAGCAGCAGGATGGGGATGCCATGCTGACCATCACCCCCTTGTCCCCCATCCCTCTGTGTCCCCCCAAGATGAAGCCCTGTGGTGCCGGACGACACGAGCCCTGCAGGAGGACGAGGTCTTGTGTGCCTTCGTGTTGGCAGAGCCGCTGGCAATCCCCAACCACCATGCAGTGACCATGGAGGCTGGCGACTCGCCGTACCCCGCTTCACTGCACTCGGACATCCAGCTGCTGCCACAGCAGGCAGGCATGGCCACCATCCTGGCCACGGCCATGGTCAACAGTGAGTCCTCAGGGATGTGCAGCACTGGGAATGGGGTGCAGCCCCATGGTGCCGGTGCTGTGCCAGGCATCCCCAATGTGCCACTGAAGTGATGTATGTGCCCCCCTTGTCTCTTTCCCCTCCACAGAGGATGTTTTCCCATGCAAGGACTGTGGAATCTGGTACCGGAGCGAGCGCAACCTGCAAGCACACCTGATGTACTACTGTGCCAGCCGGCAGAGCGCCGGCTCGCCCGCCCTGGAGGAGAAGACCAAGGAGACCTACCCCAATGAGCGCATCTGCCCCTTCCCGCAGTGCAAGAAGAGCTGCCCCAGCGCCAGCTCCTTGGAGATACACATGCGGAGCCACAGTGGTATGACATATACCTGGAGTATTGTGTGCAGTTCTGGTGTCAACATAAAAAGGACATGGAACTGTTGGAACAAGTCCAGAGGAGGCCATGAGGATGATCAGGGACTGGAGCACCTCCTGTATGGAGACAGGCTGAGAAAGTTGGGGCTATTCAGCCTGGAGAAGAGAAGGCTGCGTGGAGACCTCATAGCAGCCTTCCCGTATCTGAAGGGGGCCTATAAGGATGATGGGGAGGAATTCTTCATTAGGGACTGTAGTGATAGACAAGGGGTAATGGGTTAAAACTTAAACAGGGGAAGTTTAGATTGGATATAAGGAAGAAATTCTTTACTGTAAGGGTGGTGAGGCACTGGAATGGGTTGCCCAGGGAGGATGTGAATGCTCCATCCCTGGCAGTGTTCAAGGCCAGGTTGGACAAGGCCTTGGGTGATATGGTTTAGAACAAGATGTCCCTGCCCATGGCAGGGGGTTGGAACTTGATGATCTTAAGATGTTTTCCAACCCTAACTATTCTATGATTCTATGACATGGCATGGCTGCTGCAGCCTGGGGCATCAAACCACATACAGGGACCCCCAGAGCTGGGCTGGAGGGGCAGGGAGGATGTGGGGCTGCAGCATGATGACCAGTGATAGAGTCATAGAATCAACTGTGTTGGACAGATCAAGTCCAACCTTTATCCCAAAACTGCCACTAACCCATGGCACTGAGGCCTCGTCTCCACGCTGTGTGAACACTTTGCAGGGATGGTGACTGCAGCCCTGCCTTGGGCAGCCTGTTCCAGTGGCTGGAACACTGGGGAATAAATTGTTCATCTCCATTTAAATCATCTCACCTCCATCTAAACCTCCCTTGGTGCAGCTTGAGGCTGTTTCCTCTTGTCCTATCACTCATTACCTGGGAGAAGAGACCAGTCCCACCTCACTACACCCTCCTGCCAGGCAGCTGTAGTTAGATGAGGTTCTTCCCCAGCTGGGTGACGGTTTGGGGCAGCTCACCTCTAGGTCTTCCCCCATGTCAGCCTTGTAAAGATAGAGGGAGCATCCCGCTTCCCGCAGCCGTGCCCTCCTGGCTGGCCTCGTGGGGTGTCCCCTCAGTCCCCATCCCCTTTCCCTCAGTGCTGAGGGGTCTGCCTGTCCGTCCTGCAGGAGAGCGGCCATTCGTGTGCCTGATCTGCCTGTCCGCCTTCACCACGAAAGCCAACTGCGAGCGTCACCTCAAAGTGCACACCGACGGCCTGAACGGTGAGCGCCGCGCGGCACCCCGCCGTGGGGGACACCCCTGGCCCCATAGCACAGCATGGGGACAGGGATCCGCTCCCCACGGGTCTCTGCTTGCCCTGCTGAGTGCCGTCCTGCCTGCTCAGCCCAGCACTGTGTTCTCTGCAGGGGTCTGCCATAGCTGCGGCTTCATCTCCACCACGAGGGACATCCTCTACAGCCACTTGGTCACCAACCACATGATCTGCCAGCCGAGCCCCAAGGGAGAGCTGTACTCGCCGGGGACAGCCCTGGCTGCCACCAAACCCCATGGTGGGTACCACATGGGGACATGTGTCGGTGCCATGCACAGAGCCCAGCATCACCACGAAGGGCTGCGGCCACAAGGAAGGAGGCTGGGGATGGGGTGAGCATCCCTGTGCCAGGATGCTGGGTAACACCCGTGCCTCTCTCCCCTCTGCAGGGCTGAGCCAGACCAACAACGCATCCCTGCGGAAGTGCAGCCTGCCAACGTTCCTGCCCGAGGGGCTGCCAGCACTGACACAGCCCATGGTGCTGCACAGCCCCCTGCCCGCCCCACCGCCCGGCCCCGATGCCGTGCCCCCCATGGCACCACCCACTTCATCCCCTAACACGGCTGCTGGCAAGCTCTCACCAGCAGTGCAGCCGCAGAACGGGGAAGGTCCATCATCATTGTCATCATCATCATCATCATCATCATCCTCCTCCAGCGAGGCCATCCGCATCAAGGTGGAGCCTGCCTGCAGCCCGGTGAGTGAGGCGGAGGTGCCCAAAAGCAGCGGTCCTGGGGAAGGGGTCAGCAGCAGCCCCAGTGCTGCCTCCCAGACCTCATCCCCACGCAGCCTGCCCTCAGCAAAGGTCAAGTCAGAGCTCGTGAGCCCCACACCGGGCTCCAGCCCGGTGCCCAGCGAGCCGGGGACGGGGACGGGCACGGCCGGCGGCACCATCTTTGTGCCCCAGTACGTGTTCAGCCACGAAGCCACGGTGGTGCCGCAGGCATCCGAGATCCTGGCGAAGATGTCGGAGCTGGTGCACAGCCGCCTGAAGCAGGGCCACGGCGGCGGCGTGGTGCAACCCGCCGTGTACAGCAGCACACCGGCACCCAAGGGTGCCACGTGCTTCGAGTGCGACATCACCTTCAACAACATCAACAACTACTACGTGCACAAGCGCCTCTACTGCTCCAGCCGGCACCTCACCGAGGACAGCGCCGCTGGGGCACACAAGCTCAAAGTGCCCCCCGGAGTACCCAAGGGCCCTCCTACCCTTGGGATGCTGCTGTCCTTACCGCTGGGCGACGGGCAGGGGACACCAGGAGGGAATGGGGATGCCAGCCGGAATGCCACACCGCCAGCCATAGTGCCAGAGGTGAAGGTAGAAGAGGGGGGTGTTAAAGCGGGGACCCCCGATGCGGAGGGCGGGTCGGGGCAGTGCAGCGAGGACAGCCAGAGCCCCAACAGCTCGGCAGGGGATGAGGGGGACGAGGACCCCAGCAAGACGCTGTGCGAGGCGTGCAACATCCACTTCAGCCGCCACGAGACCTACATGGTGCACAAGCGCTTCTACTGCGCCTCGCGCCACGACCCCCCCCTCCGCCGCCCCGCAGCCCCCAAAGTGCCCCTTCCTCCCCAGCCCCTGCGCACCCGCAAGCGCCGCAAGCTCTATGAGATCCATGGAGCCGCTCATCGCCCCACTGAGCCCTCCCCGGCCCCTGACCCACCGCCACCGGTCCTAGAGCCAGTGGGGGCTGCCCCATCGCCCCGCTCCAGCCCGGATGCTGACGGTCCCATTGACCTGAGCAAGAAGCCGCGGTGGCAGAGCGAACCAGCGCCCACAGCGCTGATGCCTTTGGCTGACTACCATGAGTGCACCGCGTGCCGCATCAGCTTTAACAGCCTTGACAGCTACCTGGCGCACAAGAAGTACCAGTGTCCGGCCACCCCGCTGCAGCCCCGCACTCTCGAGCACCTCCAGAAGATGAAGGGGGCCATGCCTGTCCCCATCAAGGGTCAGCACAGCCCCAGCAGCCCTGGTGAGGGGGACCCCGAAGGGATGCGGGTGAGGGCAGCTCCAGCGGGGAGTCCCGGCATCCCCTACCCCAGGGCAGACTCACCACATCGTTACCCCAAGAGTCTCCTCTCAGTCTTAGGGATGAAGGGACCCCTCTCTCCTTGTCCCTACTGTCCCATCAATGGGACCATTAAGGGCAATCTCCTTGAGCACTTCCGTGTTGTCCATGGGCTCTATGTGGCCAAGCCAGTGATGGCCAGGCAGCGGGTCTCTGATGCCCGGGTCCCCGGTGCCGGCAGGACACCAGACCCCCCGCTGCCCGCAGTGTCCCCCCCGCATCCTCCTGCCCTCCCTCTCCGCAGGGACAGCTCCAACGGGAGGGACAGTCAAGATGGCAGCGGCAGCCCCCGCCCCCCCTCCTTGCCCCGGCCCCCCATTTCCCCTGGAGCCCCCGATGGGCTGCGGGAAGCCCCCCACAAGCACCCTACTCCCCCCACTTACACGGACAGGGCGGTGCAGACCCCCCCGGCCAAGGCTGCGTCCGTGTCCAACGGCAACCACAGGTACTGTCGCCTCTGCAATATCAGGTTCAGCAGCCTCTCCACCTTCATTGCCCATAAAAAGTATTACTGCTCCTCTCACGCTGCTGAGCACATCAAGTAAAGCCCTCCTCCCCGTCCCCCCCCCATTTACCATCATCACCATTCAGGGGGGCTGCAAGGGTTGGGGGACCAGGGACCGATGCCCAGCACCTCCCTCTCGCAGGGCTCAGGGTGATCAGGACCCCCGGGAGGCTCCGCTGGGGCTGCTTCAGCATCCAGAGGTCCCTCCTGTATCCCTACACGTCATCCCAGGTTGGGGATCCTGCGCATCCTGGGTCAAGGACCCCATGGAGAGAGTGTGGTGCTGGCAGGGGTCCGGTCCCCCCCTCCAGCACATGGTGCATGCAGTGCCCATATCTGTGTCCCTGCTGCAGCCTAGGCTGATGCTGCGGGGAAACTCAAGCTTAAGGTGCATGGCCTTGTCCTAGCCAGGGGGCTCTGCCCCCAAATAGACACTACAGGGGTGGGAAAGGGGATAAAGCGTGGCTGGGGTTGGCCCAGGGCACACTAAGAAGTGTGTGGGTGCCCCCACCACAAACCAGACCCTGTAATGAGACAGCACTAGAGGCAAGATGAAGCTATACTGGGAATATCCGTGTGTATAAGTGTGTATAGAAATAAATATGTCTTACGAAGCTGGGCTGGCGGCTGCATGTGAGTGTTGGGGGGTGGTGTGGGCACTGTCACCCTGGGGTCAGGACACTGCGTGTGTAAGAAGGACATGGAGGTGGCCATGAGGATGATCAGGGACTGGAGCACCTCCTGTATGGAGACACGTTGAGAACACTGGGGCTGTTCAGCCTGGAGAAGAGAAGGCTGCATGGAGACCTCAGAGCAGCTTCCAGTGTCTGAAGGGGGCCTATAGGGATGCTGGGGAGGGACTCTTCATTAGGGACTGTAGTGACAGGACAAGGGGTGACGGGTTCAAACTTAAACAGGGGCAGTTCAGGTTGGATATAAGGCAGAAGTCCTTTAGTGTGAGGGTGCTGAGGCACTGGCACCGGGTGCCCAGGGAAGCTGTGCTTCCAAAGGGCTTTGAGCAGCCTGCTCCAGTGGAAGGCATCTCTGCCCACAGCAAGGGGTTGGAACTGGATGAGTTTAAGGTCCTTTCCATCCCTAACGTTTCTATGACTCTTTGTATAGCCATGGTACAGCCTGCAGTGAAGTGGCAGGGCACAGTGTCCCCGTGTCACCCCTGGCACTACTGGTAGCACTGCCGGTAGCACTGCCTCACCATGGGTGTCACTTGTTTGTGCCATGGGGCCATGCAGCCACCAGCCCCTGGCTGGACTCCAGCTGATGCTGGGCTGCAGGCTGATGGGTCATTAATTATCAGCTAATGAAGCTCCCGGCTGGGCTCTGCTGCTCTGAGCCCAGGTCAGGTCCCTGCCCCATCAGCAGTTCCTGTGCTGGAGCCCCATACCCCTGCAGTGGGGTACCCGGGTAAGCACGGCTCAGGTCCCACATCCCCTGCAGTGCATCATGGAGGGATGCACATAAGCACAGCTTCTCTGGCCTCCCCAAGTGCTTCCCAGTACAGGAAGCAGGTCATTCCCATCCAGCTCATCCTGAGCGTGGGGCTTGCACTTGAGAGACCCAGCCTTGGCTCCCCCTCAGGGATGTCCTTCAGCTTCCAACTCACTAAAACCCGGTGGCCCCCAGGCTGTTTTGTTTCCTATTCTGGTATCCCTGGAGCTGCAGGGTGTTTGCAGTCCCCAAGGCCAAGGCCAAGGCTGCAGCATCCCACGGGGGTTGTGCAAGGCTGGGGCACAGCACTCTCAAGGAAACCAGGGACTAAAACCTCCATCCCAGCACAAGAGGAACACATCCCTCTGTGCTCTGGGTGCCAGTAGCACCAAGCAGGACCATTGGCATCTTTCATCCCTTTCAATGGAGCAAGAACAGGGATTGTGCCAACAGGCACGTGGGTTTGGGGGTTTGCACCATCCCCTCCTCATGGCTTGAATGCAGTGACAGAGGTTGGGACCAGACCCTATGTGCCAACAGGGTGCTGGGGTGACAGGGAGGAGGAGGAGGAGAACGAAGGCAGCAGCTCCCCTGGGAAGCACTTGCGACAGGTCCCCTCCTTGCATGCTCTTGCACCATCACCCAGCACAGCCCTATAGTGCCAAGTAGGGCAAATGGCTGCGACACCCCCACAAGCAAAGATGAGACAAGGGACAGCTGAAATGAGCAAAGCTTTACTTAAATAAATATATTTACAGAGCAGCAGACAATAAGAGATGCGCTGGCCACAGTCAGCCAACGGAGTGCAAGGACAGGCTATGGTAAGCACCGTGGCAGCCTCTATCCCCAGGCATTGACCTAGCAGGGTGCTGGGACACACCCCCCCCCCCCCCCGGCATTAGGGTAAGTGGTAAAGGAGGGGGACAGGGCACCCAATGCTCACTGCAGGGTCTTCCTGCGGGGCATGGGGGGGAGGCTGACGGGGGTCTGCAGCGCTAGGCTGCTCTCTGCCTCCTTGGGCTCCTCTGTGGCATCCAGGAGCTGCTGCATGTAGCAGGAGGTGCCAAGCAGGACGTGGCCAGTGGCCTGCATGGTGAAGAGCGTCCAGCGCAGGGCTTCCCTGGGAAGGGAGGAAAGGGGTGAGCATCCCTCCTTGCAACCCATAAAGCGGGCTGGTCCCCCACTGCAGCATCCCCACACCTGGAGCCATCTCCTGCTTCCCCCCCCCCCCCCCCAGCACTCACTTCATCAGCCGCTTGGCCCCGTAGCAGCGCAGGTCGTAGGACATGCTGTAGGTGCCATAGAGCGTGGCTTTGACATTGAGGCAGCCCAAATCCCGGGGGTTGGTCTTGTACAGATCAAAGGTGACACGGGCGACATCGATCCTCCGAGGGGGCTTGTGGGACAGGCTCAGCTGGTATCCAGGGGTCTGAGCATGAGCAGGACCAGGGTTACCCAGTGGTACCCCCACGCTTCCAGTCCCACCTCACTCAGCATCCTGGATACCTCCCATTGAGCACCACATCACCTGTGCTGCTCCCAGGGACAAACCAGGCTCTTGCCCCCCACCCCAAGGGATGCACTTACCTTGGAGGCAGCCCAGGTCTGCCCCTTGCTCAGAGCCATCAGCACGGTGCCCTCCTCCAGTGTCTGAAAGAAAGACTCTGTCTCCACCGCGGTGCCATCCTCATCCAGCACCAGTGAGATGGGACCAGGAATGAGTAGGGCATCTTGAGCCTGCAAGGATGCTGGGGGTCAGCAGGGCTGGGGGCAGCCAGCCCACCATATATCTCTGTGGACCGACAGCCCCCAGGCAGGCAGATAGACTGACACCCAGCAGCTCACCTGGTGCAGCAGCTCAGAGAGGCTCTGTGCCATGATGCCCTTGCGCAGGCTGCGGTCCCAGTTGCAGACACGGAAGGGTCGGGGCCGTGAGGCTGGGCTCGACAGCAGTTGCTGGGTCATGGAGGCACTTGCCGAGACACATCTGGGATAGGAATGGAGGGACTGGGGTCTCCTGAGAGCCACCTCTACCCCCAGGCAGTGCCAGCCCCACCAGACTCAGTGGAGAGGGGCGCATCCACCCAAGAGGTGCCAAAGCAGGGAGGGTTCCCATGTCCCCTACACCAGGATGCTGGCTTCCCAGCACTTACTTGGAGACAGGAGCAGCCAGGCGCAGGCTCAGGGACTTGGCATAATCCATCTTCACAAGGAGCACGGTTCAGCCTTTAGGGAGGAAGGGTTCAGACCTAGACAGGACCTCTCTGGATTCTCTCCACTCCAGCAGACCCTTTCCCACCGGTTCCTCCTGTGCTCAGCTCCAGCCCAGCAGTGACCCAGCACCCCGCCACTGCCACCTTTACGCAGGGGCTGTGCCTGCCCTTTGGCCGGGGCCAGGCTGGTGGCAGCCTCCCCGGGCAGAGTCTGCTTGCCAGCACGGCTCTTACGCAAAGCAGCACGTGGGGCCCTGAGTCAGTGCTGGAGCAAAGGTGAGGTTCAGGCACCCTCACCGGCTGCACCCTCACCCCGGATTCTTGGGGTAGGCAACAAGCACTGGGGAGCCAGGGGCACCCAGAGCAGCAACCCCAACCCTGCTTCTCCAGGGATATCTGCAGCTAGGAGCCCACTAGGGGGAGTGGAGAAGGTCCTGTAGAGCATCCCCATCCCCATCCCCATCCCCATCCCCATCCCCATCCCCATCCCCATCCCCATCCCCATCCCCATCCCCATCCCCATCCCCATCCCCATCCCCATCCCCACCTCTAGAAGCTCTCTACTGATTTATCCCCTCCCACCCTACCATATATGTCATCTAAAGGCTCCACCCACCCGGCCCCACCCCTCTTGCTTCAGCCAATCACCTCCTGGCCTGATGCCATGGGGGCAGGGCCAGCCGCGGGGAGGGCTCTGCACCGTGGCATAGGCTGTGTTGGGTGATGGAGGGGACTTAAAGCTCCTTCAGCTCCAACCCCCTTCCATGGACAGGGATCCCTTCCACTGGAGCAGCTTGCTGCAAGCCCCTGTGTCCAACCTGGCCTTGAGCACTGCCAGGGATGGGGCAGCCACAGCTTCTCTGGGCACCCTGTGCCAGCGCCTCAGCACCCTCACAGGGAAGAGCTTCTGCCTAAGAGCTCAGCTCAGTCTCCCCTCGGGCAGGTTCAAGCCATTCCCCTTGGCCTGTCCCTACAGGCCCTTGTCCCAAGCCCCTCTCCAGGTTTCTTGTAGCCCCTTTAGGTACTAGAAGGCTGAACCATAGAATCATAGAATCCCAGGTTGAATGGACCTCGGGGATCATCCAGTCCAACCTTTCTAGGCAAAGCATGACCTAGACTTGGTGTCCCAGCACCCTGTCCAGCTGACTCTTAATTGCCAACATTAGGGAGCCCACCACTTCCCAGGGGAGATTATTCCAGTGGCTCGTTGTTCTCACTGCAAAAGATTTCCCTCTTGTTCCCAAACAGAATCTCCCCAGGAGTAACTTGTGCCCATCACCCCTTATGTTTTCTATATGACTCCTTGTAGAAAGGGAATCTCCTTTGCAGCCACCCTTTAAATACTGGAACATGGTGATAAGGTCTCCCCTGACCCTTCTTCAGTCCCAGCTGTGTCAGCCATTCCTCATGTGCCACCCAGTCCTTTGGTTATCCCTATGATCCTTCTCTAGACCCTCTCCAGCCATCTACCTCTTCTTTGTAGAGCAGGGGCCAAATCAGAACACAGCATTCCAGGTGTGGCCTGACGAGCACTGAGTGGGATAATCACTTCCTTATCTCTGCTGGTGATGCCCTTGTTGATGTTCTCCAGCATCCTGTTGGCTTCCTTTGCCACAGCTGCTCACTGTTCACTCCTATGGAGCCTGTGTCCACCAGGACCCCCAGGACCCTTTCCCCAGAGCTGCTCCCCACCAGATCCCAGCCTGTGCTGCACTCCTGGTTTGTGTTTACCCAGGCCAAAGACCTTACACTTGTCCTTGTTGAACTTCATAAGGTTCCCTTATCCCACTCTTGAAGCCAGGGCATCCTGCAGGGTGGCTCTCCCTTCCCAAGTGTCTTCCCCACTCGGTTTGGTGTTATCAGCAAACTTACAGGGTACACTTGATCCCATCATCCACATCACTTATGAAGACATTGAGCAGCATTGGGACCAATATCAATCCCTGGGGAGCCCC